CAAACACTTGTAATATTTTATTGTTAGATGGCTCAGGAAAACAAAAGGAAATTTAAAATTAAGCAGGTGACTAAAATTGATTGAAACTTGGAAAAAATTAGTATTTTGCTTTGTCAGTTTTTGTAGAAGAAGGTACAGTATGTTCAGAGCATCTTTTGTTTTTGGCATCTGTTATTCATTTTGTTAAAGGCCCATTATGCCTTAAAAGGCTGTCACTTTTAATTCGCAAAAACTGTTAATTTTTGTTATCTTGTTACAGTTCCCAAAAATTATACTAATTTACTTTGCATCTTTAACACTGTTGGCAATTGGTATAATTATAGTGAATAAGTATTTTATATAGAAATCAAAATACTACTTTGTTTACATTTTGCCATCTTTACAACAAATTATGCATGTTCTGTGCTACTTTTTCCAGTTCTTTAACATCTAACGTGCTCCTTATCCATTATTCAAACATAATAAAACATGTGTTTTACATTTTTTAAGAATTAAAAAGATATCGTGCCTCATAATGTGCCTTTAAGGTTTTTTTCCCATCTTGTACAAAAATATTCACTAAAATCTTGGGATAAATAATTTATATGGTCATTATCAATTGCTCATATTTCACATGTACCGGTAATTGCTTTTTTTTAAATTGAATAAATTTATATGTATGTTAATGTTTGTTTTCTTAATTTCAGGTTATAGTGTGACAGCTCAGAGACAGTTGTTTGGTGGAGGTGGTGGTGGTGGCGGGAGAAGAGGGGGAGGTGGAGGAGGTGGGCAGAAGGTGTCGTTTAGAGATTCGTTTGGTCAATCTCAAAATCAGAATCCGTACCGCTGGCTATCCCAGGATGCACAGCAACAACAACAACAGGGTAGAAATGCTGCAGCTAATACGCAGCAGATGTCAGCTGCAGATATTGTGTAAAGTTTTATATTTGTTGTCTTAAAGGCCCATTGAGTCTCAGAAATAATTAAGATTTTTATATGCCAGAAGACCCTCGGGAGGTATTATAGTACAGCATTGTCCGTCTGTCTGTCTGTGTGTAGATGATTGGTTTCAGCATGATAACTTTTGGTAGATATCAGTGATTGTATTTATATTTAGCATATACGTATGTTATATCAAAACACATGTTAAGTTCTATTCTCACAACAATAAACTTATTATTGATAGAGTTATGTCCCTTTTTAAGCAAATTTTCTGTGGAAATTATTGGTGGTGGTGGTGTTGGTAGTTTTCACTCCGAATCACGACAGTTAGCCACTTTGAATTCACCAGAGCACAGTTCAACCACTGCATTGTTCCTAGGCAGGCTGTCAAGCAGTTTACCAGTACAAGTTGCCTTCTTTTTCGCAAAATAACTGAAACTTCTGTGCATGTCAGAGCAGGGTACAGTGCAAATGACCATAGAAAGGATTTCATGATCAATCACAACGAAAGTGACCTGCGCCATTCCGGAATGGAATCCGGGTCGCCTGATTCACAGTCCAACGCTCTACCTATTGAGCTAACCGGACTGCTATTGAAATTATTGGTTTCTGATAAATAACTTTTATGGATTTAAAACATAGTTCTCGTTTGATTTTCTTTGCAATCAACTTTCGCAAATTTGACATAATTGATTTTGTTCAGTTGAAATGATATCAAGAAAGTTGTATTATATTTTATAACTTACATGTTATTTTGGTAAGTATGGGACCAAAGCAGACCAAAATCAACCAACACATCATTGTCTGCACTGTTTGCTATTCAGTCAGTACATATTTTGAATTTTTCCCTAAAAATGATGAATGGTCTAGTCCAGATTGAAAGATGGACAAGTCTATTTAAGATATTTAGGGGTGAAGAGTTTGTTGTATTGCTACTGAATTGTAAAAACAGAAAGATAAATTAAAAAGAAGAAATACTGTGCATTGCCTGTTATGTCTATTTCTAATACTAAGGACTAGAAGCATTGCAGTCTGTAAGATTTATTAAAAGTTGATATTTTTATCAGAGTTTTAGATCATTGTGAATACATGTATTTTAATCAGAAATTGTGTTTTTAAATATTTTAGGAAAGGACTTGCAGTGGAAGTAGCTCAGACATGGGAAGGCGGGAATATGTGGCCGTTTTCTTGTCTAGGTTTTGAGAAAGATTTGCCAAGTTTACCAGGTAGGTAATATTATCAGTTTCATTGGCTTTAAGGTTTGACAGATTGACTTAACATACAAGTAGGTTATAAACTTATTTTGATTTTACCTGCACAACTTAGTTGGATTTTTCAACTTAGATGGATTTTTCAACTTAGATGGATTTTTCATATTAGATGGATTTTTCATATTAGATTGACTTTTTAAACTAAGATGGACTCCTTGAAGGAAGTTGAATAGTTGGAAAAAAACCTAAAAATGTTGTTTTTATGATAAAGTTACATGTTTATGCATCCACAAAGTGGGAGCATATAGCGTTGCACTTGTCCGTCCGTCTGTCCGTACGTCTGTCTGTCCCAAAATCTTGTGAACGCAACTCCTCTTAAACCGGATGGAAGATTTTGCTTAAACTTACAGGGAAGAACAACCTTATTGTGTAGATGGTAGTAAAAGAAGGAATTTTTGCTGCGACCAAATTTAACAGAATTATGGCCCTTTGTTGATTTTTTCACTATATACCATATAGAAATTTTGTGAACGCAACTCCTCTTAAACCGGATGGCAGATTTTGCTTAAACTTACAGGGAAGAACAACCTTAATGTGTAGATGGTAGTAAAGGAAGGAATTTTTGCTGCGATCAAATTTAACAGAATTATGGCCCTTTGTTAATTTTTTCACTATATACCATAAAGAAATTTTGTGAACGCAACTCCTCTTAGACCGGATGGCAGATTTTGCTTAAACTTACAGGGAAGAACAACCTTAATGTGTAGATGGTAGTAAAGGAAGGAATTTTTTGCTGCGATCAAATTTAATAGAATTATGGCCCTTTGTTAATTTTTTCACTATATCCCATAAAGAAATTTTGTTAACGCAACTCCTCTTAAACCGGATGGCACATTTTGCTTAAACTTCCAGGGATAAACAACCTTAATGTGTAGATGGTAGTAAAGGAAGGAATTTTTGCTGTGACCAAATTTTACAGAATTATGGCCCTTTGTTGATTTTTAGTTTTCAACTTGTGGCACATGTAGTCTAAAAAATATTTGACCTAGAGTCATAAGATTGACAGAACTGTGGCGTGTGGGGGCATCTGTGTCCTATGGACACATTTCTAGTTGTTTTTACATTTAACAAACTGGGCTTGGTCCACTTAATTTAGAAATTTTCAGTTTTAAAATAAGGTAAACTCGGGCGAAAATTAGTCACTACAACAACTAAGTTGAAAAAAATAAATTTTGGACAAACTAACATTTCAGTGTTAAAAGAACGGGTAAAACTGCTTTAAAATAATTGCTTAATTTTTTTTGTCACAGATGTATTCAATTGAGTGAATTTTTTATTTCTACTGAATTTGTATATATTGAATGTAAAATAAGATATATATTTTCATACTGATTTATTTGATTTTGAACCCATAAGAGAGGTGTTTTGCAGAATAATTGAAAGTTATCCAGAATGTAAATACAATATATCTTTTAATTTGTAGATTTTTCTGTAACATAACATTCAGTTAAGTTGGATTGCATAATTTCTAAAAGTGGCTAATTCACTATTAAGACCAGTTCACTATTAAGACCATTTAGAGTCAGTCCTGTAAGTGGTATTAACAGAGAGAATTCACTGTGCAATGTTATTTTTTTTAATTTGTACATCACCAAAAATGGATTTAATTGGATGTAAATTGAATTAATACATGTATGTAGGCCATAAGACTGATAAAGTTGACATACTTGAAGCTGAAGTCATATCGTACTTTAGTAATAAAGTTGATAATTTATGGATGTTTTTATTTGCTTTCACTTCATTCTGTTTGATTTATCTACTTTATATTGCTCAAATGAATATTAAATGAGCCTCGCCATGACAAAACCAACATAGTGCGTTTGTGACCAGGATGGATCCTGACCAGCCTGCGCATCCACGCAGTCTGATCTGGATCGATGCTGTTCGCTTACAAACCATATTACAAGTAGAGAAACAAATAGCAAACAGCATGGATTCTGATCAGACTGTGCGGATGTGCAGGCTGGTCTGGATCCATGCTGGTCGCAAACCCATTATGTTGGTTTTGTCATGGTGCGCCTCAAATACTGTAATGAGTATTCAAAAGTTGTGCATAAATGTGTTTGAATTATTGTTAACATCGCAACTAGAATAGTTATGTAACAAGTTAGTTCTTGTGGGTCAGCATTTGACCTTGATTGAAATTATTCAATCAAGTTAATAAAGTTACGTAAGATATTTTTATTAAAAGTGAATTTCAGAGGTCAAACTTTAAAAGATTAATGATTGCATTAATTAAACTCAACAAATATTAATTGTAACTCTCAGTTCAATGGTTAGAATAAAATAAAATCTAATTTTGTAATGTAAGAGGATGGCAGATTTTTATGGAAGAATGTCTATGGTCTGGGATCAACTGATTAATTAGTGATAAAGTAGTACTAAATTTGTGCAGATATTTATATCCGTATATAAATGATGGGGTGGTGATAAATGGAGTTCATGTCACAAGCATGTCAAATCGACCTAAACTTGAATCAACATAAAATAAAACCTGTCAAATTTGTTCCAGTAAAAAGACAAATTATCCATTAGCCTGCAACATTTAAATAAACAATAAAGTAAAATCAGAACCCCAAAACATTCAAAATTTTCCATTAAGAATGCCATATAGGCCTAGGATTGAATACATATTTTGTTTGTAAAATTGTGTTTTGGGGTAAAAAGAAGGTGCATTTGACTTATTAGTACTAATTACTCATAAAGGTTCAACATAATAAACAGGTCAATTAGAATTAACCAACATAATGTTCACAAGAGATTTCAGATCTGGACTATTATTTCACGTAGATGTTATAGGTAGTTATATAAACAATAATATTTTCAGCCATTAACAGCACATGTTTCATGCTAGATACATTGTATAATCAAAATTGCCCAAATATTAGATATTTTTCTACACTTAGCAAAACCATTTTTACTTGTGATTGACAGATATCTTATTTTGAACCCATTATGACCTAAACTAATGTACAATGTGACATGAGACTGCTTTTGATTTGAGGGACAATATGCATACATGGACTTATCAAGGTTAACTGAAATTCAAATATTATCATGTACTCGAAAAAATATCTCTCTACAGTTGATAGATTTGCTACTTTGAACCTAATAAGTCCCAAACTTATATGTCAAGTATGTAAAAATGAAGATGTTGAAACTGAATACCATTTTTTATCTACTAACATACTCTTATATAAGAAGAAAGTTTTTGAATATAACATTATGACATACAGTTTATAAATCTTATTATAATTGCAAAATAATATAATGTTGCTGTTCTTTTATGTTGTTTTTATTTCAGAATATTTGAATTTAAATTAAGGATTTTATGTAAATTCATTATTAACTATTTAAAATGGACCTGTATAGAATATTTTTTTTGCTTAATTTGTTGCTAATTTATGCAAAATGATAATGTATAATATGAATCATAATCATATGAACTATATTGTATGAACTCTATTAACATCACTTTAGTGCAGTAATGGATTTACTCCTATTAAAATATATAAGAAGTTAGCACTTTATAGAACTAATTTAACAAATCAGTTTCTCTACTTGTAATAGAGTTGGTAAGCGAAAAGCATGGATCCTGATCAGACTGCGTGGATGCGCAGGTTGGTCTGGATCCATGCTGGTGGCAAACGCTCTATGTTGGTTTTGTCGTGACACAGTTCATTAACTTTCTTTAGCTGCATGCCTCAAGATTAGTAAAAATATTTCAAGAAAATCAAAGTTGAGAAACAATTTACTTGGATTTAAAGAAAAGTAAAAAAAAGATTCAAGAAAATAATACACATGACTTTGTTATGTGCGATTAATGAATGATTTTGCAGTTCTTATCACTTTAATTCCACTGAGTGACTAACAAAGATAGTAAAGGAAATTTTGTTGCATTATTTTGATCCTTTTTTTTGCAAATGCACTATGTTGCTTTTGTCATGACGCGGCTCAAATGTAGACAAAAATTATTGTTGAATTACAGTTTTTGGGTCAACAGTGGTGCACTGAATGTATACATGTATAATAATAGATGCTGATTGGGTATTAAAATTAAGTTGAATTGTTTTGAGTTTAATTAAGCTAAATAACCCAATTAATTATACTATGTCATAGATTATACAAATTAAAATGTTGCTTAATTATTTAATTAATCACCCTGTATTATAATTATTATATAAATTGTTTTTAACTTGTTTATTGAATTCATTACTCTATATTATAGGTACATGTACATGTATTACAAATTAACATTTAGCTGTGTCATTCGATTAAGAAGTCTTTACTTCATTGATAAATGCCTCTCCTTAGAGCTGTCATTGATTCAGTGCAAAGCATATCAACGATATATCGATATCAAGTGACTAAAATCAACGATACACCGATATATCGATAATATCCTATACTCACTTGTCTGTCATTCACTTCCATACCTGTTTCAATGATTTCAGTCAAAAACATGTTCTGTACAGTGTCTTGTCCACTGCATGATTTTTTCTAGAAAATATTTTTTGTCACCATTGCTATGAAATAATTCAACTATATAACAAAAGCATAACATTAGATATAAATAACTGCTTCTGTATATATTTTGGGTGAATTTTATAATTTCTAGACATTTAATTTATTAGTCAAAAGTATCGATTTTTTAGAATGTGTATCGATTATTGATCGGCAAAAAAATATCAATGATACATCGATATTGTCGATATCTATGACAGCTCTAACACTGTTATTCCACTATTTATGTTCCAGTAGATAATAACACAAAAACATTTTTATGCCCCCACAGAGTGGGAGCATATAGCGTTACACTTGTCCGTCTGTCTGTGCGTCCATAACGCCGTACGTCTGTCTTGCCGTACGTCCCGAAATCTTGTGAACGCAACTCCTTTTAAACCAGATGGCAGATTTTGCTTAAACTTTCAGGGATGAACAACCTTAATATGTAGATGGTAGTAAAGGAAGGAATTTTCGCTGCGACCAAATTTCACAGAATTATGGCTTTTTGTTGATTTTTTCACTATATACTATGTAGAAATTTTGTGAACGCAACTCCTCTTAAACCAGATGGCAGATTTTGCTTAAACTTCCAGGGATGAACAACCTTAATGTGTAGATGGTAGTAAAGGAAGGAATTTTTGCTGCAGCCAAATTTAACAGAATTATGGCCCTTTGTTGATTTTTTCACTATATACCATTTAGAAATTTTGTGAACGCAACTCCTCTTAAACCGGATGGGAGATTTTGCTTAAACTTTCAGGGATGAACAACCTTAATGTGGAAATGGTAGTAAAGGAAGGAATTTTTGCTGCAACCAGATTTAACAGAATTATGGCCCTTTGTTGATTTTTTCACTATATACCATTTAGAAATTTTGTGAACGCAACTCCTCTTAAACCGGATGGGAGATTTTGCTTAAACTTTCAGGGATGAACAACCTTAATGTGGAAATGGTAGTAAAGGAAGGAATTTTTGCTGCAACCAGATTTAACAGAATTATGGCCCTTTGTTGATTTTTTCACTATATACCATTTAGACATTTTGTGAACGCAACTCTTAAACCAGATGGTAGATTTTGCTTAAACTTCCAGGGATGAACAACCTTAATGTGTAGTGGTAGTAAAGGAAGGAATTTTTGCTGCAACCAAATTTAACAGAATTATGGCCCTTTGTTGATTTTTATGCCCCCACAATGTGGGAGCATATAGCGTTGCACTTGTCCGTCCGTCCGTCTGTCAGTCCGTCCGTCTGTACGTCCCGAAATCTTGTGAAAGCATCTCCTCTTAAACGAGATAGCAGATTTTGCTTAAACTTACAGGGAGGAACAACCTTAATGTGTAGATGGTAGTAAAGGAAGGAATTTTCGCTGCGACCAAATTTAACAGAATTATGGCCCTTTGTTGATTTTTTCACTAGATACTATGTAGAAATTTTGTGAACGCAACTCCTCTTAAACCGGATGGCAGATTTTGCTTAAACTTACAGGGATGAACAACCTTAATGTGTAGATGGTAGTATGGGAAGGAATTTTTGCTGTGACCAAATTTAACAGAATTATGGCCCTTTGTTAATTTTTATGCCCCCACAGAGTGGGAGCATATAGCGTTGCACTTGTCCGTCCGAGTGTCTGTCCGTCACGCCGTACGTCCGGCCGTCTGTCCGTACGTCCCGAAATCTTGTGAACGCAACTCCTCTCAAACCGTATGGCAGATTTTGCTTAAACTTCCAGGGATGAACAACCTTAATGTGTAGATGGTAGTAAAGGAAGGAATTTTTGCTGCGACCAAATTTAACAGAATTATGGCCCTTTGTTGATTTTTTCACTATATACTATGTAGAAATCTTGTGAACGCAACTCCTCTTAAACCGAATGGCAGATTTTGCTTAAACTTCCAGGGATGAACAACCTTAATGTGTAGATGGGAGTAAAGGGAGGAATTTTTGCTGCGACCAAATTTAACAGAATTATGGCCCTTTGTTGATTTTTTCACTATATACTATGTACAAATTTTGTGAACGCAACTCCTCTTAAACTGGATGGCAGATTTTGCTTAAACTACCAGGGATGAACAACCTTAATGTGTAGATGGTAGTAAAGGAAGGAATTTTTGCTGCAACCAAATTTAACAGAATTATGGCCCTTTGTTGATTTTGATTTTTCAATTTGTGGCACATGTAGTCCAAAAAATATTTGACCTAGAGTCATAAGATTGACAGAACAGTGGCGTGTGGGGGCATCCGTGTCCTATGGACACATTTCTAGTTTTTTTTAGTTTTGACAATATTTGTTTGTAAATTAATTATGCACCCCTTTTTGAAAAATTGTAATGCCCCAGGAGCACTTATTTGAAAATATACGGTACTATATTTTTATTATTATTTTTCTATTATAATTATTATAATTGTATTTTTATTATAATTATATTATTATTTACACCAGGTTTTATGGATATCTCACCAGAAGAAATGCGACTTGAAGCTTATGAAGCCTTGAAATCAGGAAATATTCAACCATATGTAAGTTTACATATAAAATTGGAGAATATTGCATACTTTTAAGTCTTAGTTATAGTAATACTTTGATAAAAATATCCCCTTATCAAGTTTGATAATAAACAATTTTTCTACCGAGCTACTGTCCCTGTTTTTCCTACTCATTAATAAGTTACCCTATATTATGTTACATGTTTAACCCTTGGTGTGCTGGCGTCTGTTTCTACCAATGCAGCTGGTGCAGACCAATATCACCAAGCATATCCATGCCATCTGCGGATGTTTCTAAATTCAAAATTTCACCATTTCGTGTTAAATGTTGAATTCTGCTTAAGCCGGTGCTAGGGGGCGTGGACGGTAACTTGCACTTTCCAGTACCGTCTATGAACAGGCTCAATCAAACCGAGCCTGTAAAATTTTCAATTTTGTTGTGTTGGGCTTCCTTTAGGGATTCTGCTTTACTCTATTTCATTATTCAGTCAGTACATAATTGAAATTTCCCCTTTAAAACAATGAATAGTCTTGCCCTAATTAAAATATGGTCAAGTTGATAGAAGATACTAAGGGTGGTAAGGTGTAACAGTCCTGGCTACCTCTCCTGGCTACCTCTCCAACACTAAGGTAGCTAGATGGCTGTTATTAAAAATCAGGTTGTCAGAACAGCACACTTTGACAATGTTTAGTCAGTTTTGTTTCATTATAAATAAATTTTTTTGGTGAGGAAATAACTTTTGATACTCATTTTTTTACACAAATATCCCTTATTTATCCTGCCTTTATGTTACAGTACACTTAAAATTCTGATTAAATAATTTAAATTAGTTCCTAGAACCAGCCAATACTAAGCGATGAGTGTTGCTTAAGGAAGCAACAGCTTGCCCCCAGCAGGGTTTGAGCCAAAGAACTGTCTTTTAATGTATCCATGTAATTTCACTCATTTATTTGAAACAGGTACAGAAACTAGAGGGAGCATTTAATCAACTGAATACACAGAGACAAGAGTTAAAAAATCCAAATTTATCGTTAAAACAGAAATTGGTAAGATTTTCTTTACTTTAATTATAATGCTTTCTTTGCTTGGAATACTTATAAGTATAATGCTTTCTTTGCTTGGAATACTTTCGTCTTTGTTATGACCATAGGCTGACAAATGTTTACTGAAATACACATCTTACTGTCCTGGTTAACATTTTGTAACTATTTTACCCTTATTTGTCAGGATTGTAATTTTTTTAATATCATCAGGTCTGTGGCATGGTGGTTATGGTTCAAACCACTTTCCCCTCACCTCTGTAGAATTGAATTCCAACAGGGACTTAGGATTATTTCATGGTAGGAAGCTATCCAGCTAGGTACTTTACGCCGTCGGTTTATTCAGGTGCCTGTTTGTGCCTGAAATGATGCAGGGAAGGGTACCAGAGGTTGGTAAGTCGCCATATAACCTGTGCTGGTATGACATTAAACCTAACCAACTAAAAAAGTTAAAGACATACAATGTGCCCAATTACTGTGACTTGGACATCATTTTTGGCCCAAAAATAGGAAAACTATATTTTTCCCAAATGTTGGTACAGAAAATTTTTAAGGGATATTTGATATAGAAATGAATAACTCACATGAGTTTAAAGTTATGAATCGGATTCAATTTTTCTAATGTAGCTGTTGTACTTTTGGGTCAGATGGCCCCCAGTATGTAGAAGGTTGGCCTCGTTCTATAAAGGTGACATTGATGTATGATGAAGGCTGGCCTTGTTCTTTGATGGTGGCATTAACTTATAATTATCACCGTAAGTGTACGAGGGTTACAAACTTACTGTTCTTAAAATGACTTGCTTGCGTCAAACAAGCAATGATGAATTAAAGTCACATGACCAGCTTATCTCTTTATAACTTTTACAACTTGTTTTTGATTGATTGCAGATTTCATTTATAGATGACTGTCGGAGGAAGAAAAATTCAGGGTACGTCACTCTTCTTTTATTGATCAATTCAACGTGGGTTTATTTCAAATAACAATCAAGTTATCGCCGTGTTTTGTTGAACCCTGATAGAATGTTGAAGTGCATAAAAATACAAAAATTGTCATGATTTAAAAGGGATTATTCATCATGATACATCATTATTTGAACTCTTTGTTGATTATTGTAAATCTTCCTAACGGAGGTGGATAGAAAATGAGTAATTGAATATATTAATATTTTAATTACATTGTTTCATGTCTGATATATCAGAAAATTTAATGTCAGGTCTTTGAATCCCATACCAATAGGAGTATTTTCCTCAAACTTGGCTCAAATGTTCACCTTAATAAGGCCATGTGCCAAGGCCTGGCCTAGGCTGTGCTAACTTGAGGTTAAAGATAATCCTTGATGGTCAAGGGTCAAATAGGAGACAATTTAAATGAATCTTTTACACTGAAGGATTTTCTTCAAACTTTGCTCAATTTTTACCTCAGCAAGGCAATGTGTGTTCTAGAACCTATGCCACAGCTGTGCTGGCTTAAGAAGGTCAAAGTTCAAATATTTTACAATGTGTCTGCTATATCCTATGCCCATGTAGCATTTTTCTTCAAACCACTCTCAAATGTTCACCTCAACAAGGCAATGAGCAAAACATCATGAGGACAATGCTCATGGTAAAGGTCACCCTTTAAAGTCTAATTCAAACATTTTGTGCTTGACTATTTATTCTTTACTTTTCAAATGACTTATTTTTACAAACATAATTTTTTTTTATTTAATAAATACTGATAAAATTGCAATACATAATGTCATAGAAATGCATTGGGTATTCCTTCCTCCTGTTAAACACAACATTTTCTTGAAACTGACCAAGCATTGTTTTATAAGAACATGCTTTCAGGCTTGTTCAACTGAGCAAGGGATGTCTGTGCTTTAAACCACTTCCCTCTCATCATTGTGGGTTTGAATTCTGACAGGGACTTTCAATTCTTTCATGTGAGGAACCTGTTCAGCTAGCTTACAGCATGTCGGTGGTTCTACTCAAGTTCCCGTCTGTGCCTGAAATAATGCATATAAGGATACCTGAGGTCTCCCTCTGCCAGAACATTGACATATGACTTATACTTTGTGACATGAAATCAAACCAAACAAATTTAACTGAGCACAATGTACATTACTGGTACTCTTGAACAAAATACTTTTACATTTGTATATACATGTAATTTGAAACAATGTTATGTTAATTAAAGTTACATCTTCTGGTTTGTAATAATTTCTTGTTGTCTATACATGATACATATTAATTATAATGTATGCTTTCAGGTCGGGTGGAACAGTATCGTTATTT